AGGGCGCCGCAGCGCCCCAGCCCCTCTCCCAGGAGCGGCCTGCCGTCGAGGCGCTTACCTGCCGCTGCCTTGCTGTGCCGCGTTATTTCTGCCCCAGCGAGGGAGCTTGCGGTTTCCCCGGGTTAATTTCATCATATTCCCGCAGGTCAGGTCTCAAACCAGTCAAAAGCATTTTAAATTGCTGCGGTGTGCCTGCCAGACCGTTCCGGGTACCTGCTGTTGCACCAGCCACGTCGCCAACTGAAAGCAGTGAGCAGGCGATGCCCCGGCACAAACCTGCTCCACACACTCTTCATTTCAATATTAAAAAATTGGTAACTGTTCTCCTGGAAGCTTTGCAGATGTGTGAGACCGCATCCAAGCCTTGTTCTGTCACTACTTTTCCTCCACACAAAAAGCCTGTTAGTTACTCGGTCATATAAAAAAAAAAAAAAGTGAATTGTTTTTTATGACTTGCTCCTTCATAATTAATTCTAGCTGGCACTCACCTTCTTGCTGCCAGATACAAATCGTTTGTGATGTATGCAAAGCTGTTTGTTCTCAATTCAGTCTGGCCAAAGACAGGTATCTATCCCAATGGAGACAGCAAAAAAAAAGAACACGCCCAAAACTCCGCCAACTTTCACATCTACCTCTGTTTTTTCGTATGTCAATAACCAATTAGTATTCTCTTGAGTTATCTGGGCTTTTTGCTTCGTTTTCCTCAGAAAGTTAGATATGTTACGCCCTCTAACCTTTTTCAGAAAACTAGAGTACTAACTGAATTTTAACATCTTCAGTTTTCCTCATAGTTAGGTAGAAAAGTACCTTAAGTTTTAGCTGGGGCTAATAACCCAACTAAAACAACGCTATCTTTTTCTCTCAGAACTTGAGCATTCACAAAGATTTGCACTGAATGAATGATTCGTTTTCATTCACATTTGCTGCTACTGTGGTGTGAGCTGGGGAAAAAAAAATACTTGTAAGTGCTTTGGACAATTAACCGAGTTATGGCCTTTGGAAGATCAAATGCTCACAGAAAAACTTACTACGACAAATTTCAAAGTTTGGTTTAAGGGGCTTTTGACTGTTGCTAAGCTAAGCTTTGTAACATGTAAAAGTAGTGACACCCGAGGAGGAAGAGCCCAGCAGCAGCGCTAGTCCTGGGTTCCTAGGGGCCTCTCGCTATCAGCTGCGCAGTGACCACACCTCTGTTGTGCCAGTGGCGGTTTTTAAGGTCACACTGTAAGTGTAGGAAAAAAGAAAAAGTGCCTCATTTTAATATTTTCATAAATGTGTATGCTTTGTAAATCACCTCATCTCTTTCAAGGTTAAGAAACAGAGCCTGTTTCCGTCCCAAAGACCACTTGACACACCGGACCGCTCAGCGATGCGCAGGCTTGGCTGCTCAGGGATGAATTCTCCATCAGACCTCCACATGTCTCAGGACCTACTGACAGCGCTTTAATCCAGATGTAGACCTTCTGCTTACATGCAAGCCGTTAATGATGTAGGCGTAACAGAGCAGCAACCATTCCCTGGTTTCCCCGGGCCCAATAATTCAGGCATCGATCGCAGTATCTAGTTTGAGGTTTAACTCCAGTCAAGGCGGTCGCTCAAGCCTCTGGGCAGATGCGAGTTTGAGGAAGGAAGGAAAATGGGCACTCTTCACCAAAATCCAACTCTTCAGGTGCTGCCAACTGAAAATTCGCAGATGTACGATTGTGATTTATGTATAGGGATTTCAACAAGGCCAGTCTGTATCATCACTGGAAATCCTAGTACAAGGCGCATATGGCTGGAAGGTCGGCTCTTTAATGCGTGCCTGTTCAGCGCCACCCATTCTGAGCTGGCTTCAAGATTTTATTTCAGAATAAAGCATCATCAGGTCAAGAATGTGAGGCATATGCGTATTTTAATTGGGATCACTTGCATCGGTTGCATGATGTTTTTAAGTCATAATACTGCTAGCAATTAATTCTCGGTGTATCTTTCACCTAGTGTCACATCAGAACTGGTGCACTGGTGCATTTCAACCCAACGCAACTGGGAAGCTTGCTTTTCTCTTTGAAATGAAGGTACAAAGAACCCAAATTTCTACTGAAGTCCCTATCATGTTAGTATGGAAACAGGAAGTGTAATGGACTGCTGCTAAGCAGCCGTTCTTGTTAGGAGAGCTGCAAAATTGTTGGCCAGGGATACGAAAACCTTGAGAACAGAGTTTTCAGCTGTCAAAGTTAAACCAACATTGTGCAAGGACCACGTAATGTTGTTTCTTAACAGGTGCTGAAAACAGTATCTCCTGATGTTTCTAGGGTCTTCTTTGTTTGTTGACTAGAAACATCTTTACTGAAATTACGCCTTAAAACAGTGACTTGGGAGGGAGAAGAGGAAACACCGATTTTTGATAAAATCACCACCGTATTTTATAGTCTCCGGAAAAAAGCGAAAAGGCCATCTGGAGAGGACATCAACCTTGGATCCTTGTGTTTTCTTATTACTTTCTTTCTGAATTTATCAGTACTATGCTAACAAAGTCCATTTGGGTTTTGTGAAATCTTAGTCCTTAAGTAATCGCGAAAGGAGCACATTCAAATTGCTGGCATGGGATTCACTAGCCAGTAGTCGATAGCAACAGTACTACCACAACCTATTGTTTTTTTATCATTAGGGGAGGGGAATAGGTACCTGAAGCAACAATTATAAGAAAAGCAAAAAAGGTTACACTAATGAAATACAATACAGCGACACTAACCCTGGGAACTCTTGAAGTAACCCACAGACGATTTTCAATGTAAAATCAATAGTTTATTGCCATGCTACAATTTTTTTTTTTTTTTTTCCAAATGAAGTTGGCACTGGTAAAGGGGAAAAATGTCATAATACATTTTTAAAAAATGCACATTTGGTAAGCTTTCTCAATAATGACAGCTTAAAACAAGTGAAATTAATTTTTTAAAGATTAATGTGGAATGGCATAAAAATACACTCTTTTTTGCATAGTATAATATCGCTTTTTTCATAAAAGAAATACGGAATGTTTGTAAAAACAAATTCATCGAACAGGGCGAATTAATTGAAATTTTATAAACAATTTGGCAATGGTCCCACTGTTTAGACTTTTTTTATATAAAAGAAATAAAAATCTAGAAAGCTACCTTTATACAAAGTTGCTATATTTATGCCTTTAAGTAGGAAAAAACATTTTATAATGCAAATTAGGACATACAATAATCTTACAATATCATACAATGTAATGACAAGAAAGGAACATACAACATAAGATTTTGGCCTTTGTAGAAATGTCTATATCTGCATTTAATAAATGCATTTGTGGCACACTGGTGACTATTGTATTCTTACTACTACCAGCCGGCTTTTATGCTAGAGCGGTATTCAGCTGGACTGTAATGGCAGGTCTGCAGTTTAGTTGTGAAAACACAGACTCTTTTTCAGGAGACAAAAGGCAATGCTGCAATGACACGAGATGTGAAAAAGGCAACGTGCCTGCTGGTTGAGACATCTGCATTGTGGGACATCGAACAACACTCTTCCCTTTCACACCAGAGCAGTTCTTATACATTCAGTTATTAAGTACCGAAGACTTACAAGTGAGAACATCTGTGTTTGAGATTTGGCAAAATTTCAGGGAAAATACAAAGTTAGTACCAAATATATAATATATTATATATAAAATGTGGGTGTATGATATACACACATATTCTAATGCAAAAAAACTGCATTAATATGGAGCTAAATTTGCTGACATCCATTCCCAAGTAATGTAACCATTAAAAAACAGGTGTAATCCTCATCTTTCACACGCTTTAGAATCACTTCCTCTTTCATACATAATAGTTAAAGCAATATATATGCAATTATGACTAAGAAATCAAAATTCACATAATAATCTGCACTCTGACCACAACAAATAGGATTTTTTTTTTTAAGCACATGTAATTAAATATATTTATATTTTTACAGTATTTTTAGACCATTCCTGAAGAACTTGACCAACCAGGTCCTCAGGTGTAACGGAGCTGTTACGTCAGCAGAACTTGATCTTGTAGGAACACATCCAGTGGCCCTTGAAGTCAACACGACTCATTCGTTCGGCTTCAAAGGACGCTGCATGAGGCCCGAGCAAGCTCTGGAAGGATCGCCCTGCTAACAAGGAAGATTCCCTGGTGACACCAAATCTCCTACCTCAGGCTTCCTGTCCTGTTGCCAAAGGGAGGGACTGGAGCAAAGGACACACGGAGTCTGGGCTCTCTGGGTTGTTGGCAGGTGGTGTTGGGAACAGCCACGCAGAGCACGGCCCCAGCACCGGGGAGCGGCGCGGGGAGCTTCACGGCACCTTCTGTACTAAGGCCTCTCGAGGAAGGCAGAGGAGCTGCTCCTCCACGCTCATCGCATGGCAATTTGGTCACCACCGGTCGCAGGCGTGAGCCATGGCTGGGACCCCAAGGCGTTAAGTACTTTGCAGACACAGAGGAAGACAGTCCCTGTTCTGAAGGGCTCGAGCCTGTTTCTTAATCGTATTTTTTACATAACCTCCTTTGTATATACACATATTTGCTACATAAAATAGAATTACACCAAAGTAATGGATATAGCAGAAAATGTTGTCACAATATATGCATATTACCACACTAAATAATTACTAAAACTGCAAGAAAAATTTCAAAATGCCCTTTGTAATATATAAAAATATAGAAACGTCCAACACTTGTTCCATCAACTTTAAAGGTATCTTTATCTCTCATATTCTATCTGTACACCTACATATTTCCAAACAAAATACTGCGTTAATCTGGAGTAAACACCGTGTTAGGATAATATCCTCATAAGACATCTGAAAGACTTAGTCACATACCTTACAGCACAGTATCACAAGAAATAATGTATACATGGTCAGAGTTAACAGCTGCTAAGTTGTTGTGTTTTTTTGTTATTCACTTATCTTGTCCAAAAGAGGAAGTAATTCCTAAAGATTGCAAAAGAACCTGAACTCACGACTTCCTGTCTTTTTCGTATATGCTCTGTAAGAAGGACATCAGCAACCTTGACTCCATCTTAACGCAGTTTTTTGTGGTGGAATTTCTTCTGGATTTTTTTTTTTTGGAGTGTATATGGATTTAAAGTAAAGATATCATAAATGAACTTATGTTTATATTAAGTAAATACTGTCAAATATAAATGCCTGAATTGCTACCTCAAGGAAAAGATGGGAAAGATCTTACCATTAAGTTCCAAAAATACCTAATTCTATCATCAGACTGAAGCACCAAGCTTCTTTAGGGGAAATAAGAGAATTTCAGATTTAAGTACACTATTAGTTCCTACTAAATCAGTTTCATCTTATTTGCAGCCATTAAATAAATTAGTACAGTGCAGAAATGGAATTTCACCATTGATCCCACTTTACACAAAGAGGAGAATACTGCTCAGAAAGAGAGGTTCAAATCAGATACATCATTATATGCTCAAAGTAGTAACTGACATTAATCAGAACTTGCATTTTTACTCCACCGATGGTGAATAAAGACAATCTGCTCTCTCCTGACTATCTCACTGAGAAGTGTTTAAATATAAAACAAAAACAAGGGTAGCCAGATTTTGAGTCAATACACACTGTTAAAAAACCAGCAAAACCACCTGCTGGTCTGTCACCTGCAAAAGAACAGCCCTGTTTTGACATTGGTTTGGCCTTGGTACAGCTTACACCTTTCTGTGGCCCTTTTTACACCCAAGCCCTAGTCAGAGGTGTAAACACACACACAAATATCCAAACATCTGGGGGGGAAAATTAAGCAGTTCATAATATGAAATGTCTATTTGAACACTTAAGATTTCTATAAAAAGTTCTGTGGACTTTAATAAGAACAGGAATAGTGCCTCAACACACACCATTACATTCAACCCCTGCCATATGCAAAACTTACTTATCGGGGGGAAACAAGAATGTTCTAATGAGAGTTAAGGTTTTCAGAATGGTCTGTTTTATATTGCTTTATGGAGTCACCAAGAAACACCACAAAATTAAAAAATTGGTCCTCCTCTTGACATCAATTTAACAAAAAATCTTTTCCTGATATAACCAATGGATTAAATTCTCACTAACTGTATTTCTAGTACAATCGCCATTATGTACTTTTGGTCACTGTTTCATCTTTTTTATCAACTGAGTTTCCTTGTTTAGAAGATACACTAATGTATGTCTTTCCCAAAACTTCGCACCTATGGTTAAAGGCTTTCCCTTGTCAAATGTGCTTGAAGGGTAGCAGCCATTTGCATGTTACGGATGAAAAGTAGAACTGATGGAGACACTGTGATTTTTGCAGGACCTAGTTTATGTAAACTTTACATGTCTCAGTTACTAAAGAAAATGGTTATATATTTGTAGTTTCTCCATCTACACACCTGTGGGCCCGAAATAAATACAATCTAAATGCTGTGGAGAGATTTCAGCTGAAAAACGGAATCCTAGATTACAGACACTAAATCTAATCACAGCCTCTAAAGAGACTGAATTGAAAAAAATATTTACCAAGTCTCAAAGGGTAAAGTGCATTGCAACTACATCTACTTCAAGGGGCAGAAAATAACGAATGCTAAAGATGACTAGTGTGGGTAACCGGGACTATCCAGTATCTTTGCAGCGTACACAAAACGAGAAAGCATTATTCCCACCTGTAAAATGCAAGAGGGTAAAAAAATAGCTCTGGAAAATACGTCATCAGACTTAATATAATTAAGGCTACAGAAAGTTTCAGTATGTTCTCAATTCTGGGGACCAGAGCTAAGAAAACATCCCCTATGAAGTATTGTGGGACGTGCAACAACATAAAAAAAAATTACTGAGACCATCCATCCTTTGTATCTGAGACTATTCGGGCTAAACACAGGACAGTGCACCAGAACTAAGGAAGGATATGGTTGGTTGTTGTCATTTTGACAGGTTACTTAGGATCTACCTGAATCCTCTGTTTGCCTATTTGTCAATTAAGAGTATTACTTCCCTGCCTCACAGGTGTGTTTTAAGGGTCTAAACAATTAGTATTTCTGAAACACCCATACGACACAGATACGGACCAAATATGTCTAGGCAGCTAGAACACGTTTGCCTCAAAACACATGCTGAAGCATTAGTTCAGCTTACAAATTTTAGTGAGCTATAAGCTAAGAACAAGAATCACACCAGCATCATGAACCCAGTAAGTATTTTGCAATACCTGGCAATTTCTCTTCAGTACAGACCATAGTGTAAGGTGAGGCAGTGGCAAAGATGTGAAGGAGCACTAACATTGCAGACCTGTAAAATGTCTAGCTCTAGGTAGTCATTACCTTCTTGAGTACCAAGGTCTCCCCACAAGTCAATGGGTCTATCACAACAGTACACATAGGTTGACTGTAAAATCATTAATGAGGTTTTTAATCTCACTTAAGTTCCTCATAATGGTCTCAATGACCCATCTTTTACTTCTGCAAATTATGTTCTTTGTGCATCTGTTATTTCAGTACCATACAGTCTGTAACGAATAATGAAAGTGAGAGTGAAAAGGTTGCCTGGTATCCCTTAATGGTTCAGCAAGCTGCATGGATTTCAGGTGCTACCACTGCTGCCACTACTAAACTAAGACCAAAGAAAAAGTTAACAAAGGAACAGGAATACACTCCAATTTAGCAGACTGAAAATAACTGTAGTTTGTTTTTTACAAAACTTCAATTCAAATATTGCATGAAGACCCTTAATTCTTTTTCAGATCTCCAAATGGCTTTTCTTGCATGTTTTTCCTCACTCACAGTTCAAGTGTTATTTTACATCACACCAGTTCACACAAGTGTCAGTTCCTTTGCAATCACAGGCTCAAGAGTAATCTCTGCTGCTGCTAGTACCAAGGTGCACCTGCAATACTGCCAGAATTCTAGAATTATTCAGAGTATTAAAAAACAAAACAAAACAAACCCCAAAATGTCTGCTAAGCATACATCTGGCATATTCAACAAACAACATTCTACCTGGATGTACCTGTAACACTGAGTAACTGTCACTGTAACCAAGTTCACCAACTGCAAAAGGAAAAGAAATATGCTTGTAGGTAATACTACCTTCAGATAATTTACTACGTATCTTTCTAAATTATACTATCAACTATGGATGCACATTGCTAGAATGTACAATTTTCTGTAAAGAACTATCAAGTCCAGTACCCTGCCTCCCGTGTAACCTGTGTCTGATGCTTTAGAGGAAGACGATAACTGCATAATAAACCTTTCCAGTTGTGCAATAATGCATGCTGCTGGAGAGCTGGGATATCTCTGTCAGGCATAAAAAAGCAGAACAATGGACAAAGACAACCATTTGACCTTCGAGTCTTTGTTGCCAAATGCTGAGAGTAAGACAAACACATCAATGACCCTGAACAATAATTAAAGCTAAGTACAAAATTTTGACTTTTAAAACAAGACATTATGGAACAGATAAAAAAAGAGACACACAAATGCGAAGAAAGGAAGGCACACTGAACTAAGAAATTACAAGAGAGCCTTAATTCATACAGCCAACCTGTGAATTCCTTCACAAAAAACACACCCAAAACTCTACTGAGATTAAAATTCTGTCAGATTTCACAGGGAACTTGATACGCCACTGGGAATTCTCTTCTTGCGGAAGGAGCTTAAGGCTGGGTTTAGATGCATTTATAGCTCTGATCAACGAACTTCGATGTGACCTCTCAAATATCACACAAGTTAAGAAAATTATAGGGAATTGTAGGCCTTCTTGCCCATGTGGTCTTAAAGAAAAAAAAACAGACAAAAAAGGTGTGCTGTTTATATCCCTTGAGATGAACCAATATACCTTGTGTACGTCAAACTGAGTGAATTAATGCATTACATACATTTCATTCTGGAGGAGCCACTTCAATGAGGAATGAACGTAAGATAGGTACCTTGAAAGATTAAGTTTACCTGCTAATAATGCACATATCAAGAGGCTTTAAAAAGTGTTATAAATGCCATTAACGAGTATAGGCACCAGACCAGAATATTTATAAATTCAAAACTGGCGTGTCACTCAGACTCTAATCAATTTAAAGAGGCACTGTGAAAGGTGGTGATGCTGCTATGCAGTAATTACTACTACTGTAGAATGAAACAGTGTTTCCTAAATGAATACTTGCTCTACATTAATTCCCTTTAGTTAGACAAGTACATGAAGTATGCAGAAAAAGTTCTATTAGTCTATAAAAGGCTTTAGTGTTAAGAAATGCAAAGTGTTTGCATCTTCAATTTTATAAACTTCACAAAAGGTGCAAATGATTTAATGCTTCCCAGGCTCACATAGGCAGGTCAGTACTGTTATGTCTAGTTTTCCTAGAAGTACCATCATCTCGGGGCAGTGCTTTTTGCAAGCTTGACATAGCAGCAGTTCTTTCAATGTCTATCACAGCATACAGCTCTGTGCGCCTGGTTGGAGTTTGCGGAAGTGGAGTGGTGGGGGTTTTTGGAGTCTGAGGGTTGTCGGAGTCACTACCACCTTCCAAGTCAACCTGTATATAGTTGAGCTGCCTGTGTTCTAAACTTGGACGCCTAATGTCAAAGTTAAAGACCGTTGGAGTACAGTCCCGACGTCGTGTAAATTCTACTTTATGAGCACTTGCTGGTACTGTTACATTCTCTGTATTGACATAATTATGCATTGGATCTAGGTTATTGTGGTAGCCATTCAGAGATGGGGTCTTTGGTCCTAAACTGTCATCTTCATCTCTACTCAGCTTGCGGGCTTCCCAAACAGGAGGCAAGGATGGCAAGTTCTCATAGTTCAACAGCGCAGTTCTCCTCTGAGCAGAGTTGTTAATGTTCTGGGTGTCTGAGGTACTGGTTGATGTCAAACGACCTCTCCTGACCCCTGAGGCACTAGGGATTGATAACCTATTTATATTTTCATACACCAATTTATTACCAGATGGTGTTTCTCTACGTTCATCACTGTCGTACCCAGTGTCCCATTCAGTGTTGTTTGTGCTGCTGCCACTAACTTGGTCTCTCCCAAGTTGCTCCAGTTTCTCTCTTTCCATTAACTGCCTTTGAACAGGTGTTGGTCCTAAAACAAACTTGACTCCTTCGGGCTCCAGGAGGACCTGAGCATCTCTGTCATCAGTACACATCTGATCTTCTTTCACTTTAGTTGTTTCAGTGTTTGAAAGCTTTGATTCCAGTGGCACATGCACACTTGATCGATTTTTTCTTTCCTCTTGTACCCCAGTAGTGTTGACATAAGTGTGCACCTAAAAGGGGAAGAAAGGAAAAAAAAAAAAAAAAAAAAAAAAAAAGGAAATTCAAATGCTATTTGCACTTTTTTTTCTCCCTCCCTTCATATTTTCTTTTCATATTACAGAAAAATGCTTTCAAAGCAAAGGTGGTCAAATACTGGAACACGTGGCTCAGAGACACTGTGGAATCCCCTTGTCTGGAGTATTCAATGCACAGCAGGACAAGGCTCTGTGCAACCTCCTCTAACTTTAAAATTTGACCAAGAGGACTCTAGAGGTCCCTTCTAACCTCAATTATTCCATGATTTCTATTCACCAAATAGAAGATTATATGTAAAGAAGCTTTTTGACCAGGACCTCTCATAAAATACAATTTATGTTTTTAAAAACAATTACTGAAATTTTTGAAAATAATATATGCAAATACATACTTTCTGTATCATTATTTGTATATAAATATGAAGAGCAACTTAAAATAGTTACTCTTCCTCAGCCAGCTGTCCTACAAAGTATCATTTTAAAGAGGCAAAGCAAACAGTCTTCTGAGGTAGCTAACACACAATAGAAATACATCACACCTGATAATGAAAAACATAAATGAAAGTCTACAGAGTAAACATTAGAAAAATATAGGAAAATATAGGAAAAAATACCCACTTGCTCCTCTGCTACAAGTAAAGGATGTGTTGATTCTTCACCAACAGAGGGGAGGCGTGCACTTCCGACAGAAGGATGTCTGCTGGAAGGATGTGATGAAGCATCTCCAAAAGATGGATATCTGGGATAGCCGTTAGGTAAACTTTGTGCATTGAACCCAGGAGCTGATTCAATTAGAAAACAAGAAAAACCGTATTAAAATAGAACATTTTACTGTATATGAGTAAGATGCTTTATATGTTCATTTTCAACTTTCAAAGGAGAAATTAAAATATGTAAAAGAGTATTCACAAGACTCAATTTTGCTGGGGGGAAGGAGAGGGAAAGCAAACTGCAAAGTATAGCATCCTAGTATTTACTGGGAAACATGTCTGAAGCAACCACTGAAATCTAGGTGTATTACGCACCACAGACCTCCCAGTAAACTCCGTATCCAACTTCTCTTTCTACCATTAACAGCGTGTCTCCCTAGCACACAGGGACTTATTTACTTAAGCTTCCATTTCTCTGAAATAACCTGGCATTCCTAGTTTCAAATATCAAGCCATCTGCCTGGGATTACTTAAAATCCTCCACTATTGTTGAAAGGACTTCAATCTACCCACCCATCTATTCACAGCAAAAAAAAAAAGATTCCAAACCCACTACAGACATGATATTACCATTACTTTTTTCCTAATAAAAAGGCTGGAACATTGCCCAACATTAATATTTCTCAGAAATGCTACAAGTAAAATATGGTGATACATTATAAAGCAATTCAGAGCAGAGCTCTTATACAACAACTAAGTTCCCAAAATTTATTTCTTAAAGCTGAAGAACTTGACTATGGCAGTTTTGCTCCCAAGACTTAGGATTCTCAAAAGAGAACCCTCAGCAAGTACCTCAAGAGAACGCGTTGCTGGTAATTAGCCTCTTAGCTGAAAACAGCATTTAATTTGCATTAAATCTTTAAGTAATTAAAAAGAAAACTGATTTAAAGCTAAGTACCACATTACATTCAGGTATATCATCTGACAGCATAACCCTACTTACTGGTAGGCGTTCGAGGGGTTCTTGGAACTTCCAACTCAGTTTGATGATTATTCCTTTCTACTACTGGTTCTTCTACCACATTTATGCTATTATTCTGCATTATCTCTTGTAACATATTAAATAGCTCTTCCGCACGGGCACATTTAAAGGCAAAGATTCCTATAAATACACAAGAAAAAAATCAAAATCCTTTAACGTAAGAAACATGCCTTACAATGTATATAACTTTCAAATAATAGAACTGGAATCCACATAATGAATACCTGTTAAAGAAGCAAAAATGTGAAGAAATTTTTATTGCACCAAAACACATAAAATTACTGTGAGAACCTTTAAAGTGTTTATCTAAAAGAAGAATAAGTTTCCCATGCACCAAAAGTTAAACTAGAACAGAAAATTCATTCAATTAAAAGCAAAACTAAGTTTTGAGTGCTGAGTGGTTAAAAAAAAAAAAAAAAGGCACAAAACAGGGCAAATTTTTTTTTTTTTTTAAGCTGGTACAAAAGATACCTGCTAAATAAATAAAAACACTAAATTAAACTACTGTGGTGCTACAAGGTCATATTTTTTAAACCAGATTTCTATTAAATGACCATAAAAGTAAGATACCTGCACAACAGGAAAGAAGGATTTAAACACTGGGTAAACGTTTAGTTTCTTTAAGAAGATAAAAATGAAAAGCTAGTAAGACAAACTGTGTGAAACGGACAGTAACAAACCAATTGCTTTAGGCTAAAGGGTAGACACAGAACACAAAGTTAGCAGCAATACCGTGTGTTTTGCATGTGTATTGTGCCACTTTGCCTTTAAACAGCAGGGAGCGCCCCAACTTACCCTCACCGGCAAAGTCCCAGCTTTGGATTATTCTTCCATTGAAAGCATGAAGTTAAAGTTGACATGCTTGTTAAACGGGGGTGCAGGTGCTCAGTTTTTAAAGTGAGTATTACAATCTTAAAACACTCTTTACTAAAAACTACCTACCTTTATAGCTAGTTCTGTAAGTGCAACTATGCTAATATACTGTTAATACTTATTTAAGGATGCAGAACTGTGAGAGATCAGAACTACCAGAAATTCTCCACATGGCAGAAGTTGACAAAAACCCAGCTGGGAATACACCAGATGGGCTAAGAGGAATACACCAAACGGGCCAAAAGGAATGATGCTCAACAATTCATATTCAGCTGGTGCAGTGGATAAGCTTCATGCCTGCAGCACAGCAGCTGTACAGCTTCTTCCACTACATTTCCCCAACCCGTGATCCAGCTCAAGTACAATAGTCCATGTTTAAATTTTTGTGTATTTCTGAAAATTCTCACTGGCTACTTAAATCCTAATGGACAAAAAAATAAAATTAAAAAAAAAAAATCTGGGTTCACAAGCTTTAAAAAGCTCCCAGTATGCTTCTGAGAAATTCAACTGCCTTTACCCACTTGTTTAAAAAAAGTGCTTCCCACTTGCTTAAAAATTCCTTAAAATATGAGGTGCACCAAATTCGCACTGAAACTGCAAGCAAAAACAACTTGATGAAACCTTGATTATTATTAAATACATTCAAATTAAATACGTGATCAGTCACTTACACAATATGGTGACACACCAGCTCCTCCAAGTTTTCTATCCTGAATTATCTATTAGCTGCGCTCCCAAAACACATCTTCAAGGTTTTTAATACCTACCACAAACTCAATGTTTCACCCTCAGTACATTCTGACAACTTATCAATAGATATAATTTGAGATTAAATGGAAAACACAAGAATATTGATTAATGCAATCAGTAAAAGTTGCCGGGCTGTATTCAGGGTACTCTCAAATGAAAAACGTCACGGTCATCTCACCAAGTAAAGATGAAGTTTTGTAACTGTGCCCGCAAACCCCAGTGTAGGTCTCAGGAACAACGCTTCATTGCAAAAACGCAGCAGAGAGAACATTTTCTGCCAGGTTTCTTTTTTCTCAATATTCACAGTATTTTAATATTACGTAAGGAAGGCAAGAAACAAAAGAGGGAGGAAAGGGTTGTTGCTTACACAGCCTGCTTAATCTTCTCTATTTAAAAAAAAAAAAAAAAAAAAAAAAAAGATTAGGAGGGAAGCAGAGAAGTCAATTAGACTCGGTGGAAAATTTTGCAGACTTGCTAATAGGCCGTGGAAAAGAACCTTCAAAATAGTATTTTCAATTTAATTTTGTTAGTATGTGTTTTACATGTTTAGAAGAAGCAGTAAATTAAACCTGAAAAATCAATTAAAGTGATTTTCTTCAAAACAAAGTTTATTACTTTCTTCTTAGAAGTCTGAAAATTTAGTTTAGTACGGAGTATACTGTAACATTTGAAAACATCTCTGTTTCTCATTAGGAGATGAACTGAGAATACTTTCTAAACTCTTATCAAAAAAACCCAAACCTGTCTGCCCTTACCTCTGCTTGGACAATGATGATTGACCAGCCTTGTTTATGACCAAGTTCTTTCACCTTCCTGATTTTTTACAGTGAAATTAAAAAAAAAATTGCAATTGCTAAATATAATTATTTATAAAACCACTAGTAAATGCTAAAAATCTGTAAGAAAATAAAAATGCAACTTAATTTCACAATGTATGAATATGTAAGAAGTCCAGCTATGCACAGCTATATCAGAAGAGAAAGATGCAAAACAAGGCTGAGACCTCAACCAAAACAGCTATTCCCTTGGGGACTACTGCAGTGGCGAGAAAATCCTAAATCTTCTCACTGGGAGCCAACCTTGGCCCAGACAGGCATGATCTGGGACCTGGAAAGGTAACCATCTTTTTCTAATTAAAGCCACACAGAGAAAATAACAACATAGCTGGAGTTTACACACTTCATACAAAAATGTGTCAAAATTTGAGAATTATGTAATTGATAAATGAAAGTGGTATTTGTGTTAGGAGGAAGATGAAACACAAGTGTGTTACTGAAGACAATAATAGGGTAGGAATATCCAGTTCATACCAGTGTTCCAGTCTTAAAATCTAAAAATAGAGTAATCTTTGAATTCTAAGGAGATTCCTCCACAGTTCCAGGTTTCACTGCCCCTCCCTGAAAGCGAAGTCAACCTCTCATGTAGGAGAATTCCCCTGTCAAAACCACCTCCTAAGTTGACCAGAAGTATCCACACTTAGAAGCATGAAGGTGCTCCAGACCTACAGTGACAAAAACTATATGCAACTCAAATCCTCATTTTACCCTAAGACCATTCCTCGTAAGGTAACTTACTTTTCTCCCAGAAACCACATTCTCATATAAAACTATAGCATTTATAACCCTTGCCAAAGTACAGGCAAATATACTTCTTTTAAACAAAATTGTCTTCCAACATCAAATAAATTTCAAAAAAGCTTTCTGTACAAAAATTCCACGTACCTTGTCCAGTTTGACACCTTCGGCCACTTTCAAAAGAGAAAAGGTTTGAGTCATAGCCATAGCGACGGAGACAGAGGTAGTGCCATTTTACAGAGTCCCTTTTACGGGTGTACAAGATTAGTTCTGTATCTGTAAGTTCCATTATGCCAGAACCCAGTTCGTTACCATCATCATCCACATTAATAACCTATAAAAAGGAAATTAAACAGCATTAGGTAAGTACTCTTTGGAGTACAAATACCACTACTAATAGTCTTAAAAGTTTCACTGACGCACTCCGTCTGCTCTGTCATATTAGTTACGATCCTTGAGGTAAAAGTTTAAAAAAAACCAAACAAAAAACCCCAACAAAACCCAACACCTTGCCAAACCTGTTCCTCTGCTCCCCCAACCCAGAATTAAAATAATACATACTTAAAAGCAATATGAATGAGATTGCATAGCATTATTGTAAGCTCCGAGGGGAAATTTAAAATAGAAGAGATTTGCAAGTTAAATATTTTTTTTTTAAATTGGCTTTATGTACATATTCTAGTATTTCCACATGGATAAGGCATACCTCAGATAATGGAATCTTTCAGAGCCCCGATTCTAAAAAAAAAAATATTTGCTTTGTCATAAAACCCCACTTACAGTTGGGAAAAGGAATGAAAAAGGATAAGGGGCTCCAGGACAAAGCTTCCTTCACGTACCTATATAACCTTGCCCTGTGCTGCATCACCAGACTCTTAGATTTTTTTCCTGCCTTTTTAAAGTCAATAAATAATTCAAATACCCTATGGTTCTCTTGTGTGAAAACATGTGTATAAAGCTTAAATTCTTATTCTTTCTGCTTTAAACCAGGTTGAGGTCATCTGCAACCTTTATGGAATTCAGACAATGTATGTTTTCCTCTGCATGTATTTTACCTCACAGTGCTGCTTTTAGTGGGATTCCTTCTTACTCAATAAAAAGGCTACCAAAAAATATTCCCTATGGCATCAATTAATGTTACTCCTTAAACAGACATTTTCAACTTGAAATCTAGTCAGTTGAAAAGAATTAGGAATAGTTTAATCTGCCACTGAGGCTTATGCCAACTTTCTTAATTTTGCAAATTACATTCTTTCATCTTCTCCCCCCTGCTGCTAAATCAGTGACCCACACAAACAATAGAGAAATTCTACACAGAGAAAAATAGGAACTAGTTACACAAAGTGATGTCAAATGCATAAAAAGCAAGAAAACAGAAAAATATTTTATCCTTCAGCTTTTTGTACTGATAATATTAAACATTTCCAGAAATTCCCATGGCTTTAAAAGCTCATTTCAAGTGTTGCCCTAAGGCAACACATGAATCATTTCTCACTACGGAAGCATTACATTTCTTTGCCAACTCACAGAAACAGTTTGGAGCACAGAAGCAAATCTGACTTGTGTGACTCTGCAAAGGTATGTTTACTTAAAGTCACTGACCTCAGCAGCTTCACGTTAAGCATGTTAAGCACACGAACAAGTGTTCACAAGCTTATAAATTCCAGGGATATAAGGGACACAAGCACGTTTATAAATAAAATTTCTTCAAGTAAAGGACAAAAGTTCTCAAAATGCTATCATCAGTAGTGATCTTCAAGTAAAACCAACAGTCCTAAAATTTTCCATTGCTGACCCCGCATCCAGGTTCATAATCACACTTCTCCAATAACTCTTCCCTTATGCTTACGACTCCCTTCCTAACTTCCATAACCTCCCAGAGGCAGCAACGCTTACTTGGGCCCTATCAGCTGTAATGGAGATGGATCAAAATCACAGGGCTGCTTCTCCTTCCTGAATATCAAAACTTTCATAAAAAAGCCTACCCTGCCTAGAGAATTCCTGTCACTGCTGATAAGAGATGATTTCTCAAAGGGGCAAGAGAAACCTGTAGCCACAGACACCTCCAACTCTGCAATGTTTTAACTGTTCAGTAATTCTCACCCTATTTTCATTTAAATTTTTTTCCATCACAGACCTACTCTGCAAGAAAGCAACAGAATAACTCACAGCATACCACATCAGTTGCTTACCTTAAACTTGTTTCGATGGTTATCTGGGACAGTTTCTTTATCTGGACAGCTACAACAGCTACCCATGACTTCTTTAGAAGACCATGTGTTCTCTAAAGGGGAAGGAAAAAAACCCCAAATGATCATTTAGTTGAAGTAAAAGTAGAGTATCATAAACAAAACAACCCAACACAAATTGCTCTCCGAAATTACAATTCTTCATGATGAATTTTGCATTCATAAGTAATAAAAACTGAACATAAATATTACAAATATTTTTAAATAGTTATGTTAGATTTGGCATTAAGGAGTGGCAACACCGAGCTGTTAAGGTCCTACCAATAATTCGACTCGACGTTATTACCAAACAGACCCATTTGATTTGTCGCCTTAATTCCCACGGTAGCAGCTTGGGGGGAAACTGAAACCCAACAACATACTGGGTATGATTCTCATCTCCTAAACCAGGGCCTTTACACAAGCCAACTACCTGGATTCCAGTTTTGTCTAAGCCCTACTGATGCCCGTACAAGCCCTGAGCTGTAGGAGGTTACCAGGCACAGGCAACACAAAGAGCCCACATGGCAACCCTGAAAGGCTGCCCTGGCTTCAGCAGCTCCAGGGCTGGCTTGCATAGAGGGTGGAGGCGTTCCAGGCCTGGAGGCAGCCCTGTGCTGGCAGCCGTGCAGCGAGGCTCTGTGCTTCCACTTTTAAATACTTCCCATATAGCAATGCACATAAAACTATTTCATCGAAGTCAAGGGAAGGAAAAAAGCCCACATTCAGCACAGATATTTTAAAGCTTGGGTTTTTATTTCTATTAAGTTCTGTTTGGATTAAGTTGTGCTACACAGTCTACTTCATTTGCTATAAAACAGTAAAATATTCAACAGAATATTATATATAATAATAACACAGAACAGCATGGCTAAATTAAGGGAACAAAAAATAAATATTTGATACTTTTTATATTTTCATCTAAATATTTTTGTATATATGGCGAAACTTTCATAAAACAGTATGATAAAATGTTCACAGAACCAAGTCTCACAACTTGCTGCTTCTCCCTCTACCACTTTGCAGAGGGTGGTAAGTCTCATATTTCTTAAATACAAGGAAGTCAGACAAAAGAAATCTTAACCCGTTTACATCATGTGTATTTTGGATAAGAACTAAAATTTCCACTACACAAATGAAAAGTGGGGCAAAATCCTGGAAGAGAGCTAGTAAGTCAACAAGAGATACAACGTTAGGAATCAAGAAGAAGGAAGACAGAACTGGTTGATAACTTTTCCTGACTAAAAGGGAGAAAAAAAAATCTGATGTCACCTTAAGAAAACCAGGACCTGCCTTCTAGGCAGGCATTTGTATTAGCATGCAGCAGTAGTATCCAAGTAGCACTTTAGTCTGCTGAGAAATAAGAGGCAGGGAATACAATGAAGAGCAGCTAACTCTTCCCCCCTTCTTGACCAGAAAAGCCACTCAAAAGAGATACTGCTACCCTAGAGACTGTATAAATCTGCCACCAAACCCCTGCAGAGATGAAATGGAGAACTTAACAGAACGGGTAACAACATGGCTTGGATTAATCCAGTAAGAAAAAGGCAGGGCACCAGAGACGTAGTCCAAATCATGAATTCTCTAATGTCATTTCTGGCCATAACATGAAAACATGCATTAATCTGACAGAGCTTTTTTCCCCAACTCAGTATGAAACTGGGGCATTGGTTGTTTGCTTCCACTGTTGCAGAGAGAAACTATCCTACACACAACTGAGTTTTTTTGCATAGAGAAGTCCTGAATTTTATTAATCAGTCCAATAAGTCTCTCAATTATAGACTACTTTTGATAGTCTTCATACATACATCCCATTGTTATTTTAATTATTCAGTTTTTTAGAAAGGGAAATACAGGTAGTAACACCTATTACCAATTTCCTACCCTGGCACCCCACAATGCCTCCCTACAGTAATGTTCAGATGTTGGTCTTGTTAGGCTATTGATGCTACCCTATTTATTCCGAGAATTCCCTGCTAGAAAGAGCAACAGGTGACAATAGCTGCAATGCAGGTTAACGATGAAGATACACATTTGCAGCAAAGGTTTTCAAGCTCTGGTCCATCCAGCAGTCATAGTTGCAGATGCTTCTAGTAGCCTTCAGGCATAGATGCTTGCACTTAATAAAGCCCAGTCTTAGACCTCCCCAGACATTTTGACAAAGTGAAAACAGAACTAGACAGCAGCATGCTGTTATAGTATCATAACTTTCTTTGCATTCAGCATAAAATAACTGATTAAATCTGTTGAAGGCAGGTGCCTGCAAATTTAAACAATTAAAAACCAAAAACTTAACTGCAAAGTGGTTTGGGAAAAAATCACTAGAGTTGCAAGTAGAAAGCTGTCGTATATGAACATGTATGAAGTATAGCCACTGTATCTCAAGAACAACAAAGAAAGGGTATGCAATCAGTAATCATACAAGCTTATTTTGTCTCCAGTATATTTTAATATTAATACTTCAGAAAACCAAGAACTGCAATGCTGCTTCAAAGGAGAGATGTAAACTAAGGCTATGAGGAAGAAATGAAACAGCTAGGGAACTGGCAGAATTAAAAAACACTCACCTAGATTTGGCCATTAATATTCCCAGCCTCTGCTGCAGCATCAGGGCTTCTGTCATACTCAAAGTGTCATGCTGTCTTGTCACAGAACTAATCATTTGACCTAGAACTAGAAGAGTATATAAAAATGTATTTTTTCTTGGTTTTAAGATGCCAGTTAGCAAACTAACAAAAACACATACTTTTTTTTTTTTTTTTTTTTTTTTTTTTTTACTTTGGCAGTATTACGTCAAGTGAGGTCTTCGTGGCTAGGATGCATCTTAAGTGGAGTCTTAGACAAGAGACGATGTCTCAGAGCTCCCCCAGCATTACAGTGCTTAGCTGGGGCATGGAAGAAAATAATCTGGTGTCCCTTTCTGCAGTGTAGCCTGTCACACTGGGGACTCCACTCATTCTCCACGCAATCCTTACCCAATTTAGTGTGTGGAAATTACAGATGTGAAGCTGCCGTTATCCTTAGCACATACCACGCCAAACCACAGCAGACAAGCAGAAGAACACATACAACTTAGTCTGCTTAACTCCCTTTTGCTTATCCTACTGAATATATACAAACAGTGACTTGTATGGCTAAACACATCACCCTTTCTCTGCTTCCCTCTCGATTCTTGCTCCATGACATTAACCATAAATTGCTTGCCTTTGCTTCCCCCCCGGATTACTCTCATACTAGCTATCCGCTCACATTTAACACCAAAAACTCAACTGCTGCTTCCACCAGGCTAACAGTTGGCAGCCTCCATTCTCTGTAAAACTGCCAAATGATCACTTGATGTTTCCTTTGACACCACTTCTAAATCTTGAGAGAAGGGCTAAATTCTCAGAAGAATACTTTATTATTAGCCTTTCTTATCAGCCTTTCAGGATGCCTGTGCAAACTTGTTTGAGACCATTGCAGCTCTGCTTATCAATACCACCACAATTCTTTGTATACATATGCTGTCCTCTGCCTTGCACCTGGATTAAAAGCATTTTGGGAACCAAAAGCACTCTTCTTTTTTGCATAGTATCAAGTGTAACATAGTCCCAAACTCATCCCACATCCTAGGCATCATGATAACAGTTGCAGAACACTCTTACTGTGGAGGGACTGTGCAAGAGAACAGCAGAAATTCAATACGGGTAAATTCAAAATAATGCACCTAGCAAAGGAGCTCTGTCTGTTAGGAAAGATCAGTCATGTAGTCACGCAGTTCAGTGAAAGCACTAGCTCAATAGCAATCATAAAGCAAATGGGACAGAATTGTTCAGAAATAACTAAAAGAGCCAAAACAAAAATACAGCTATATTTTTATTCATACAGATGTATGAATCCACGGTGCACCCACAGATGTAGGAATGTATCCAATTGTGTCTCCCCCTGTCAAAAAGGACAGAGTGAAACCAGAAATATGCTACTTGGACTGCTCAGGCCGGAAAGAGGGACCACACAGGACAGAAAAGATGAGTACAGAATTATAGGTGACATGGAGAAGATAAATAAAGCACAACTATTTTCCAAACACAAGCATTAGGGAGCAGCAGTTGACATTGTTAAGCGGCAGGTTCAAAAAAACTACACAAAGGAACTTTTTGCACACAGTATATAGTTAAACTTTGCAATCAACAACATCTTGTGGGAATAAGTTGCAAACATTTGAAGATTCAGAAAGTAACTGGAGAAATGCAAGGCACATAAAGAGCTTTTAAACTCAAGGATGGCACATCTGGCTCAAAAAGTCTCTAACCTGCAGATATTTAGAAGGGTCTTAGGGAATGATCATAAAATGTTCCTCTTTACTATTTCCTTCCCTATGTATTTACTACTGGCTGTCAATTTACTATTTACTGCCAGAATCTGGAACTGGACAAACCAATAGTTCAAGTCTGACCCAACAAAGCCATTCTTGTTAATATAAAAGGATGGCACGGATGCAGCACAGATTTTTTGAGTGCACTGTTATTAAGACATTAAAAAAAGAAATAATTAACAACTTATATTTAACTTGAAACTAAAAGCTAGATTTCACAAAGATACAGAAGGAAAAACTTATTGAACTGCTTGATAGATATGTATATTTGCATACACATACTAAACAAAGATTCTCTGCTGTGCATAAGCAGTATTTGGTATCAGGAACTTGCAGCAAGTCACATTCCCTTCCTGTAATTTATTTGCCCTTTAGCCATAAGCTTTCTTGATCTTGGATGAAATTGTATACAGTTATATTCAAGACCTATCCCTCTGCAACACGCACAGGCTCTGGACCTGTGATGGCCCTGCCCAAGCTAGCTGGTATTATTTAACTATGTTTTTTGGTCCGTTTAGATTTTTGTTGGCTTAGCACACCAAACCAGCTCAGCAGAGAGTCTAGCAAGTGCCAGAGCCAGCTGGGGACACAATCACAACCTTAGTCACCTTTTCAGAAAACTTAGCCCCTTCACTAATTACTAGGATTTACTTAGTTTACCAAATTCTCTGCTAAAATCTTCAGGATGGGAGAAAGAGGGAGCAGAAAGCTTGACCTACCTACTCTGGTGAAATCTTGCAGGTAGTCATTATAAAAATAATAAAATCTAAAATTTTCACAGGCAAACTATACTACTGCAGGTGTGTTTGCACTGGTATTTACCCTGATATTTTTCTAGCAAAGTTTTAAAGCCTTCAAATGGTTTGGCTACCTAAAGCAGACTAGCCTGTTTCAGTTACCTAAGAACAATTCTTAAATGATCCAAATAGAGTTTTTAATGGATTAAAAAAAAAAAAAGCACACAAATTTACAGCACCTTACTTCTTTTAAATGTAAAGCAATAACAAAATTCTCCAACCAGTTGTTTCCAATTACAAGTTGGCCATTTACTCTGTTTGGGATTTTCTTAAATCTTCCCAGATTGCAAAATATTTACCCAAACTTAAACATACAAGGAGAAGTAAACTTTTTCACAATCACAGCCCTAAAAGTTAATCTTTCCAGTTATGTCCACGTCGTCAAATTTAGGAGCTGTAATTTCCCGTTCATGAAGCATCAGTGGTGGTTGGGTGCAGTCATGCAAGGAGGGGGAAGGGGATGGAGAGTATTTTCTGTTTCTCCCCAACACATTCGTTACTGCACTGCGAGGTAAAAATCCCAGGCAAGACAAACCAGGACCAGCACTTATCTAAACCTTGTTAACGGGAGTGAAAGTTAGGAACTGCCATAACTGCAGTAAGATTTATTACTTGGCTTTGTAAAGTAGCAATCTACATGTAAAAGACACTACCACAAAAGGAAAAATGTTTAACTTGCACATTATTCTCCATCCTAGGGTCATCGATGTTGGGTGCTTTTCATCATGAAGCATTCTCATCTCAAGGACAATTGGCAATAGCCCACACAATAAATATACAAAGTGGGGGGGGTTTTAATTAATTATTCATTTATTTATTAATAATATTTTTAAGAATTTTTTTGAATGCCTAATAAAAATTGTGTATTTCCAGAAACCATGACCTTGCAGAACCTGTGTGAAGTGCAGCACGTTTGGCCACAAGCCAATTTCATCCTGTTTGATGGCTGTGACAGCAGTAAGGACCAGACCTCCTAGGAAAATCAGGAGGCTCCTTGGAAGCCCTCCTGACATCTTTGCAGTTGCCTTGTTGTGGACCTAAGCTATATGCCAGACTGGAGTCACGTTTTCCTGCAACATAGTTGAATCTTTCCACATAAACTGTAATGCAGGCAACCTATGAGCAGGTTTTTTGTTCCTTGGCATCCATTGCATGAGCCTGTCTAAAATGGGAGCGCTTCAGCGTGCCCTTCCTTAACCTCCTCTCAGGTAAGAGGATGTAGCCTCAAAATACAAACTACAGAAGCAAGCGGGAGACAACAGTTGGGTCTCTTTTCCTCCAAAAAATCCATAAAGGCTGCACTAAGAGACATGAGGTCTGTTGTACTTGCAGCTTAAAGGTAGAATAAGCTCTCCCCAAAGTATCGTCCCAAGCCCAGAAAGAGCTCTTTCTCCTGATGCCTTGGAGTTTAAGAATTATCAGAAGTGATGGCAATGGCAAATTATTTGTATCTATATAAAAATATGCACAAATTGCTTACCATTAAGTAAAACTCCCCCTTCTCCCTTCCTCCAAGCATGTTAATGTTGTCACCTCTTATAAAACTCCTTAAAAACAAACATTATTCTCCTCAAAACTGTAAGTAAGATAGCTTAAATATAAGATATTTAAGACAGCTTAAAATACTTTGTGCAGGAATAGACCCATCACATTTCTAGATTCTGCCTCTTACAGACCTTTTTTTCTACCTCATCTGGGGTAAAAAAATAAAAAAAAAAAGTAAATTCTTTACTTCAAGTGGAAAGTGCAAAAGAAAACCTGGATGAAAGATGGGGGAAAGATTTTTATTATTGAAGTAGGCACCAGGTTCATCCTCTGTTTCAGGTCACTAACCTAAACGCTGCCAATCTGTCTTTGCACCACAGAGGCTGACCCATTTGGTGTGTAAGAAACAGAGCCCAAATTCTGGTGGTCTTAATTGCACCTAAACTAGACACTAGGAGTAGACATCACAAATAATTTGCTAGGCAACTGAAGACATAGAAATAGGAAAAACTAAACTTTGATAATTTCAAAGTGCAAAATTCATGGCCCCCATGTGTTGGGACGTTTACATTTATACAGGGATTCAGACAAGAAGCATCCCCAGTGCAGAGCAGGTATTGCAGCAACCATCAGTACACCTGCCCGGCACGTGCTGCCAGACTAATCTCACACACAGAATACCTGGTGACAGATGCCACCTATTCAAAACAAGAAATCTAATTTCATTACATTTACGGATGAGTGGCTTCTTATAGGAATGTTACAGATGTCTTAACGCTCATTTCTTTTAAAACAGAAGTTATTTTAAATCTTTTTTATGGCTTTCAGTATATGGAAACAAAAATCACTGTCAAACATCGACAGGTACAAACCACTCTGCGACTTACTTTTTAGCTCTCTCCCTGTCCCTCATTTTCCCCTTAGGGACCTATTTTTTCTTATAAACTTTTAACAGAATGATACTAAACATAAATTGATTTATTTCACATTTGACATCCTTCATGTCTCACTGTTTCCACCTTTGCATACCATGTTAA